TTCGCAAATAAAGAAATGTTGAAGCAAGAAGAGAAGCCCGCAATCTGCACACTTCCACAAGAGGCAATAACGTTTTTAAATAATCAAAATGTGGCCACCTCTTTTCTTCCCAAATGGGTCTCATTGACCAAAGCAAGAGCCACAAATCATCTGAATCCAAAGTTCTTCTATTGTGCTAAAAAAATATTCTCCTCTGCTGGCGCATCGGTCATCGTCAGAAATTGACGATATTATTATTATTATTATTATTATTATTATTATTATTATTATTATTATTATTATTATTATTATTATTATTATTATGTTGTTGTTGTTGTTGTTGTTGTTTTTGTTGTTATCATCATCATCATCATCATCATCATCATCATCATCATAATCATCATCATCATCATCATCATCGTCATCATCATCATCGTCATCATTATCATCATCATCATCATCATCATCATCATCATCATCATCATCATCATCATCATCATCATCATCATCATCGTCACGAAGGGCTCTCGTGGTCTAGAGGTACATTGTTCACTTTTCATTTTAAAAAATTCAGGGATCGAAACTTGAGAGTGACGAAAACATTTTCTTCTCTAAAAGATTCCCCTTTCACCTCCTTTCCTGTTGTCTTGTCCTGTTCTTTCATCTGTTTTCATCTCTACTTTCTTCCCCCGCCTCTGGCCTCCTCTGGCCTCCTCTGGGTTCCTCTCTCCTTCACTGATGACTCATTCTATTGGTACTCCTGGCTCCTTCCTACTGCTGTCTTTCAGCCACTGTCTTTCAGCCACTGTCTTTCAGCCACACCCCTGATCTTAGGGTAGGTAGGATTGAACACCTAGCTTTCTCGGACAAGGGCGAAAAAATCCTGTGTGCAAATTGAGCATGCTAAAGATCACGGACTTTGGTGGTCCTAAAATCGACCAGAGTAGGTTTCGGCCTCCACCCGGGCAAAATTTGAATACAAATTCCAACCAAAACCTAAAAAAGTCTAGTCAGTAAGACATATGTGAGGCAGCGTAGTGGAATCAGGCTCTCGTCAATTTTTGCGCATGTAGAGTTATTGGTATTATCTTAAAGCTTGTTCACTTGTCTTTATTTTGATGAAAAAAATATCCATTTATCTTGAATACAAGTCGAGATATTTGCTAATGAAAGGGGCGGGGGTCACCTGTTTTCAGAGGTAAAATTAGTGAGAAAATGGCCGCTAAAGATTAGTTATTTCCTTTGCTTAAGAGTCCGTGGTAACGGAAAAGTTTTATATTTTGTGCCTTTAATCAACGTTTTTCAGAAAAATCCACATAGAAATGTGTTCTTTAATGGGCATGAAAGGTGATGAGCCAAAAAACAAAAATTTTATAAAAATTCACAAACCTGCGGAAAAAAGTTTCTTCACTTTGATTATTTTGACGAGAGCCTGATTCCACCACGCTGCCTCACATATTATAGAATACCTTCGAAATCGGCATGTGACTGTCTGAAGGCAAGGGCCCTTTAGAAATGAAGACATCAGACAACAAGACGGCGTCGAGTCGAGCATAGAATACAACAAGAGAAAACAGCCTAGATGGTTTGGACACGTTATGAGAATGTGATCACATAACCAGTCTCAAAAGCTTGGGTTCAAAGCAAAGGGAAGACCGAGAAAAAGATTGATCGAATAAGTCAAAGAGACCCTTTAATAGGGTTTAGGTTTATGTTTGGGGTAGGGGTAGGGATAGGGTTTAGGTCTGGGGTAGGGGTAGGGTTTAGGTTTGGGGTAGGGGTAGGGTTAGGGTTTAGGTTTGGGAAAGGGATAGGGTTTAGGTTTGGGGTAGGGGTAGGGTTTAGGTTTGGGGTAGGGGTAGGGATAGGGTTTAGGTTTGGGGTGAGGGTAGGGATAGGGTTTAGGTTTGGGGTAGGGGTAGGGTTTAGGTTTGGGTTTAAATTTATTAGAGTTTTCGGCACTTGCAACACAAATAGATCTAGGTCACAGTAGCGCCCACCATTAGAGAAGCTGCTAGAGAGCAACATACAAACAAACAAAGAAGAAGAAGAGGTAAGGGCAACAGATGTTTGATAGGAAAGAAGGAGCAAACCCCACCAGAGCACCTGCCAACCACTTACCACGTATGCTTCCCGGGAAGCTGAGAATGTTTCACAGTGTTCTATGGTCTGCTGGGGTAATAATATAGTGTAAAGCGCATAGAGCCTGCTGATGAGCTTGGATATGCGCTATACAAATGCTATCTATTATTATTATTATTATTATTATTATTATTATTATTATTATTATTACCAAAGAGATCATTCAAAAGCACAACATGAAAATCAAAAAGGCAACGCACAATTACATCTTCCCTCGACACCTCATGGTACAAGAAGACAGAAAGAGTCAAACTTGGTAAGTAGATGATAAAGACGCTGCTGATGTCGGTGCGGTTGGGGCTGGGGCTGGGG